GACCCGGCCATTATTTAATCTCCTTAAAAAGGATGCGGAATGGTGTTGGAGTACCGAACATCAGGAAGCTTTTGACGGGGTCAAAGACAGCCTCCTGCATGCACCAATACTGGCACTGCAAGATCTTAATCGTCCTTTCAGCGTTGCCTGTGACGCTTCGGACTTTGCCATCGGCTGTGCACGAGATCGGGTGATCGCGTTCGAATCTCGCCAGCTTAAGGCTGCAAAGACGATTATCCAGCTCACGACAAAGACTTATTTGCGATGAAATATGCACTTGTCAAGCTCAGGGTGCTCCTGCTCGGCTCTAAACCGCTTGTTATCGACACAGATCATGCATCATTAAGCACTGAGACTCAGTAACCTCACTCTCGCAGAGGATGGCCAGGTGGCTCTCCTTCTCCGCAGAATACAACTTCGAAGTGAAATATAAGGCAGGAAAGCATAATGACTTGACTGATGCGTTGTCACGCAGACCAAATTATGAGCTTGCTCATGTCATGACGGTGACGTCATCAATGACGAATTTTCTCCGCACCACAAACGCGGGTGATGATATGTGCGTAGCACTGCAGTAGGCTCCCGGAAACAAGGAATTTGATAATTCGGACAAAACGTTGTCGTCGCGACTTCTCGTACGGTTGCACCGATATTCGATGAATAACGGATTGCTGTATTATAGCACCGGCTCGACGGAAACGCCACGAAATGTGGTTGCTCACGATGAGGATTCGAAGTGCCGTATTCTTTATGAGACCCACGACACCTCACTCAGTGGTCATCTCGGTCGTAAGAAGATCTACAGCTCTGGTGAGATGCCGCTACTGGTGGCGCGACCAAGCGGTACAAATGAACGAGCACCTATGTGCACCGTGTGAGGCGGGTCAAAGGATGAAACCCTTACTGAATGGGGCGACAATTCTGGCCAGTTTGCCAGTACCCTCTGGGTATTGGCAGTCCAGGAGTATGGACTTTGTGTTTGGCCTGCCTAAGGACTCGGCGGGCAACACAGTGGTCGGAGTCTTCGAAAACCGTTTGAGTAAGATGGCCGGACACCATCGACTTTGTCGGGTCAGCGACACTGAATGTCGATCGTGTCTTTCGACAACATGGACTATTGTCTCTGACAGAGAATCACGCTTCACTGGGAAGTTTTGATCGACGATCTTCAAGGTGCTGGGCGCCAAGCAGAATATGTCAACGGTGGACGATCTGCAGACCGATGGTCAAACGTTGCGCCTGAATCACGTCGTTTAAAACGTCCTTCGCAGCGTCTGCGCTAAGACCTCAAGGCGCTAGAGCACCAAGCTGCTCCTCGTAGAGTTTGCTCTGAAAAATGCAGTGCATTCATCTACCGGCAACACGGCATTTTACGTGAACAAGCTCTTTGATCCTCGCGTCCCGCTGACGCCGCCGTCGCATGATGCAGGGCTTAGTTGAAGGACATTAGCGAAGCAGCTAGCTGATGTCAGCCCTCTCACTGTGCATAAAGTAATCGATGACTTCCTGTTCACCAGACTGAGTGTCTTACGACACGTTCGCGATGTGATAGCTGAAAGCCATGGCATGCCGAAAGAATAGGCAGGCGGAAGAAGCAGAAGAAATGTGGAGATATTGAGGTCGAAGACCTGGCTTCTTAAATGCAACAAACTATCCTACCCATGAAATTTCTGCTGTCTCCAAAGTCCACGCTCCGTCTACAATATATCGAATCTTTTTGGGGGAGTGGTCAAGCGGGGCGTGCTTTGCTTGCACGCTCAGCTTATAGAAACGGATGCGCACCCACCTGGGGTCGGCTTGCTGAAACCGTACCGGGATCCGGCGCAAGTGAACGCGGAATCGTTGGCGCCGAAGCGGTTTTCACAGGCGTTCGACCACCCAGAAGCTGAAACAACTACTGGGTTTGAGCACGGAGTGCAACGATCTCTATTTCCAACGGCGCCAAACACTCCACCTGTGACGAAGTGACGCATTCACCTGTTTGATGGCTAGGAGCTACTCCGACCCAGCGTGATAGTCCAAAACGTGTGGCAGCCGCTGTACAACATGCTTCAAGCTCTTGCGGTCTTCCGCGCAGCGGTCTGCGGAACCAGCATGACGCTAAGCGGAGTCCCAATCGCGACGGACTATGTCCTCAAGAACTAGATGAGCATCGACGAGAATAGTGGCATTCACTATCACGTATAACGTCTTTTGGGTCGACGTCGTCGCCAGGGTTAAACCCAATAGCTTGTGAAGTGGCGGCGATACCCAAATCCGTGAATTCGTGGGAGTTTGACTTCGACAAGTCTGCCCAGACGTCGTGGACGCTTATGTTCAGAGGGGTCATGACGTTATGCATCGTCGCACGCTACGCCCCGTGCTTCTCGGCAATAGCCAGGGAATCCGAAGGGTCATAAGCTGAACTCAAGGTATGGCCCTGAACTACTGTGGTCGCAGACTCACCCGTGTGAGAGACCACAGAGCTCGCGGGAGCGTGATGAGATAGTTCATACGTCGCAGGGCGTCAATACGAAGGAAGTCGGCTTAGCGCCTTGATTTTGAAAAACTAGAATCGAGATAGCGTTCCACATGCACATCCACCTCCTTGTCGCTCCGCTGTTAGTTGTACATTGAGGAAAGTTTCGATGCCGCTACAGCTATCGCTCAGGAGTTCTTCATCATCTGCAGCAATTTATCCATAGTCAAGCCCACAAGAATCGTCTGCATCGCGGGTACAGGAGTGTCTTCACTTTGAGCGTGAAGTCGAGCGCGAAGTCGAGTGCGAAGTCGAGCGCGAAAACTATTCATTGGGATTTCTTGCGGTATCAGAAGCGAGGTCGGAGAGCTTTTCGCCCGTCAAGCTCAGCTTGTGTGGTGACCGGGGGCCCGATCACGTAGACGCCCAACGATCCGACGATTGCGTCCTTTGTTTCAGTAGCGGGACCTGCGAACGGAAGCCGTATTCCACAGGAGGGTCTAGGACCGACCGTGGATGAGAGCAGATGAGAGCCACCCTGTGGGCAGCCTATAACCGCTGTTTCTGTGCCTCGTCGAGGCGACTGTTAATGATACCACTTTCCCTGTAGTTAAGATATCGGAGAAAGAGACCCGGTGTTTGCAAGGTTCGAGAAAGGCCCGCGTCGCGCACCTCTTCTTCCGTCCTAGAAGAGGTGTATCCGACTCGTAGTCGACTTCCTCCAAATCCTCGACAGAGTAATCCGTCGCCTGTGGCGGGCGCGTTGCGCGGTGCTCGGCTGCCGAGGGCTTGGGATGCGCTTCTTTGAAGCCGTAAATGAGCCTCGTAGAAGTCGACAGTCAAGTGTGAGTGTTTTGTTCACAATTTTGATGGGGGAGAGTGTGACGAGTAACACGTACCTTGGTATGAAGTGTTGGGCTAGACAAGATGGTGTGACCACACAATGTTATGGCTAAATTTTACCACGAAGCCTCTTCGTGTCAGTAGTAATGCATTTTAATTGGGTTTTACAGGTTAGTTAGGAAAACCTATAGATTTAGAAATAGGCGCCTTGCCGCATATTACAAAAAGTACGATTTGAACGGAAGAGTTAATCAGCCTTGGGCTAAGGTTGTACTTACTTTGGAGCTAGCGGATTGCGACCCGCTGGTTCTTAGTATTAAACGAAGGTCACCGACCTTAACCCAGCTTCCCCCAAGCGAAAGAGCTATGGCAGCCCCGCTGCAGAGCCGGCCCACTGTCAAATATCGAATTTAATGACCCTCGGTATACTCATCTCGTAGAGCTTGCGGAGGCTACCACATGTTGCCGTTGTCATATATCAAATTTGCGATGATTTTCCTATTTGACGTGTTTCAAAGATTCTGTCTCTACCACGAGTCACTCTTTTACAAAAGTCCTGTCAAGTTCATCAATACCCAGATGATAAACTATTTTTTCAATTATACGTAAGTGCATTGAATTTCTAAAGGCTTGGTGTCTGGTTGCATTGGTTGTGCTGGTGACTTCGCATGACGCTGACGTCGCTCCTCGGCAAACGTTTTTGCTTGGCCGTTTGTCGCATTGGCATCTCTGCCACAGGCGTGTCGCTGTCGACAGGCTTGCGAGGATCCGTTTAGCGTCCTCTCCGAGCAGATGCCTCTCGCATCAGCGTCTCTTGAAATGTCGTGTCTGACGTCTCTCGCTCCGCTCTGTTCCTAACGGTACAAGTTCTTCTTTCCGGTCCCCTTTCAATTTGGAACGTGTGTATGTCTCAGTTTAGGTAGACGTGGTGTAAAGGGGTGGTAGGCCCATTACACAGCTTATGTGGTCACACTTAGTTACTGGTTAACTAAGTGTGCACTACTCTTATTGGTATATGGTCACAATAAGAAGCATTTAGCCCTATTTTTAGCTCAAGATGGAGATTAGGATAAAAACACCTATAATATATTTAGTCTTCATATTGATCAAGAGATCAACACATGGATGTGGTCATAGGGCGCGTACGTCAGCTACGCGAGAAGACTAAGCCCCAAGGCAATGCTTCCTCAGAGCAAGAGTGCCTGTAACCAGCTTCCCCGCTACACTGCATATAGCTTTATATGAATGTGCATATCGTGCTACTTGCTGTTAGTCTTTTTAACACAGAAAGTCGACGCCGAGTAACGAAGTTCAAATTCTACCATCATACCCCACTTCATTTTTTGTATAAAAGCCAGCGCTTATGCTACCAAGATTTTCCTGATTAGTGATCATTACTAATCAATTCAGGCCCCGCCTCATCGATTTATGCCTTTCAATCGCCCCTCTCCCCCCCTGGTCTTGAATACCACGAAAGCAGGTCGCACTTATAGGCCTTTTGGATCGAGTACATAAGGCTGCGGTACAATATTCACTTCCTCGTCTCCGCCATATTTAGCACAGAACAAACGACAGCCCCCAACTGCGACCAAACCTTTCTTTGCTAGGAACCACCATATAACGTCGGTCATTTCTCGTCTTAATCGATACAACTTTGGATACCGCGTTATGTCATTGCTATTTCTTGCTCATCTAGAAGTGACAGAGAGCTGCCGTTATTGACTTTACGTTGGGCCAAATATTTATCTGAATGGCACTGAATGAAAACAAGGTCCGGATAACATTCATACCCAGGAGATCGCGCTTTTAGCTGATGGTGTAGATGTATTAGACAAAACCGATCGATCTCTTCTCATCTCTTCTCGTGAGTGAATCGTAAGCTGTAGTGTTCTACCATAATAAAGTCGAATTGAGCTTTGTTTACGACGGTAAAAACAGGGTCATCAACGCGAATGATCTAGTCTGACAGGGAAACTGTCGGAACGTCAATTAGAGTATGGTATATCTATATTCTGAGTTAATGGTCTGAGTTGTGCAAACTCATTGAAGCAAGAGATCACAATCGTCGCTTGAGATTTTGGACCTGGAGAATGAATTGGTGTGTAACGATAGCAAATTTGGGTACCCACGAAAAGTCAAAAGAACAACCTCATCACAACCTCATCAATCATTGGCTTAAAGCTGCGATAGACACTCCGATGAACTTGACCGAATACACGTTGTGTAGAGCACAAGGCCGCAAAAATCCACAAACAAAGCTTTGAAGAATTCATTTTGCAAAGTACTTCAACGAGATTCCTGTCCGTACCGTGTAGAAAACAATTTAATTTACAAGTAATGTTAGTAGCCAGAGAGCTAAAGCGAAGCCGACGCATTGGCATCAAGGTCCAAATATGTGGAAATGTGATGCTCAAACAAGGATATCTTGGTAGTTCAAGATATAAATTTGTAGGCGAGCTGCGTTGATAGATCCAATGAACAAACAGCTTAGGGAGCTCCTAAGAATATTTAAACAATTTTAATCTGGAAGCTCGAAATATCAATGATTATTTGAATCGATAACCAAGAAATCATCAATCACCACGCAGCTTACGCGTAATTTTGTGGATGATTAACAAGGCCTCGAAAGTGCTATGTATTTCGACGTGTGGAAGGTTTGTACGATACACAAATATTTATACGAAACACAGCTGTCGATATTAGTCCTCCGGTAACATACACGAATTCCGTGATTCATTCCTCGTTCTCTTCAAAATTTGTGACGACATGGTAACTTTCGTGAAGCTTACTCGCTGGAAACTAACTTCCTAAGCAACTTACCAACAACACGTACAGAGAGCTCCGGACAAGGTCGTGGGTAGCGTTCTTCTGGTCAGCAGCGTTGTGCTTTATATCTACTACAGTATATGGGTGTTGCTGACAGTTCGTACATCTGATTCAATGCCATCAATCTTTGCATTGACATATTTTGTTTTGCAATCGTTGCAGCCATTTTTTGATGAAGGTCATCCTATTCAGGACTTCTTCTTGCCGTATCATTATGCGATAAGTGTCCCAGCTGTGTTGCTAGTACTTTTGTTCACTGGAGCAGCGACATTTATCGGCATGGTAATGATTGAAAGTCGAGAAAAAAAGAAATGGAATTGAATGAGTGTAGAATAACAAATATCAAAAGCCTCGTGTTCAAAGCAACAAAAATTAAGCATTCAATGTAATGTTCGTGATTTCCCAATGTGGCAAAATATGTATGATGGCTCGAAGCACGATTACAAATCGCATAACCATCCGTTGGTCGTGTCGCTACAGTGTTCTTACGAAAAGATTACGGCGACGCCACCTCAGCATTCGTCGTGTTCAAATAGCTTTGCTGCTTACAACGAAGTCTCAAGACCGGTTTATTGTGTGGCTCCTTCAGGCGCTGCAAGCGTACTTTGAGGCTGCGATACCATGTAGCCCATTCCCTGGATTTGATTGTAACTGAAGCCCCTGCTCAGTAACTCTTTTACCACTTCGTTTGTCTGCTCCTCACGCAACATCTATAGATGGCAATCACAAATACCAAAAACAGCGTCAATAGGTTTGACAAATCATACCTATCGCTCGAGTCATAATTCTCAAACATAGCATTATACCTCAATGCTGAGGGGCACTAGCGTTACTAGCATTGTCGTCGAGAGAATCCACAACCATCGTCCGGAAGATTTCCAGCTCTAAAGAATCACATCGAGACCAGAACAGCATCAGGTATCACGTGTGCTAAAGCAGAATATTTACTAAGTTTACCTTGATAGCAAACTTGATGCCGCTTTTGACGGGACCAGACTGGCGAATTCGGGTTGGCAGGTTAAAAAAGAGCGACTCCTACGATAGTCACAGAGCCTTTCAGTACGTCACTCTTGCGCTGCACATGATTCTACAGCGCTCAGGATAGCTGTGATTGGAGTCTAATGAGCGCACCTTAAAACTGGCCTTGTGAGACCCTTTCTTCTCCTTCTCTAGCTTACGTAGCGCTCCGATAGCTGACATATTTATTGTGTTTTGAAAGTTTTGGCCACTCAAGAAGACCTCTTATAATTAATTTTTTGTTGCATTTTACTAATTTCGCAGGATGTCCTGAAGCCCTTTCAGAATTACTTCCTTGTCATGCTGATCATTTTTACTGCCTCTGTACAGTGATTCTCCGTTACAATCCATTTCGTCCATTCGCGATTGCTTTACAATGGCAGCAAGGGATTGAGCAATCAATGGCGCGAAATTCTCGACAAGATTGCGATCTTGCTGCTGTTGTGGAGTGCTGAGCCGTCCAGCTTTCGCAAGTTGCCGTAGTATGAACTGACAGCATGTCCTCACTCCATCAGCGTAGCATACGTCGAGCGTGCTTTTTTTCAAGTTCCCGTGTCTTATGCTGCTACTGGAAACATCCCCAGCAATGCATACATCAACTGCCAAAACGAAGCGAATTGGATGATCAAGGTGATCAATATTTCGTCCGGTAGGTGCTCGCAAAGGACTTGCGATATATTGATTCACTAGGTGCGAGCTTGTTCGCTGACAGCGAAGGCCATACCTTTTCCAAACTTGAGATGAAGTAATTCCTTTAGCGATGCCACAAAGAAAAATGTCCTCGCCATTGATTAGCGGAGTGTGATTTGCGAAGCGAAGCAGACAAATTTCGATGTTATTCCGTATAATTGGGTCCATATCGCCAAACATTAGTGCAACACAGCTAATGGAGACGGAATCCTCCTCATGAATCGCATACAATACATCATCCACGCTGACTCCCAGATCTTCCGCAAATCGATCAAGTGGTTCTTTCTTGTGTTGACAATCGACACTGGTGCATGTCTCTCCAACGTCAAAGGTAAAATGCACACGAACGAATGGAGGAGCGGTATAGCGTAGACTTTGAAAATACAAGGCTAGCATGTCCGCAGCGCTCTCGATAGCCGATTGACTTTGTGGACAAGGAATAAATAGCCTCATCTCCGTACCAGAAAAATGCTGATGTTCCTCATCTATGACAAAATGTGCTACCTTTTTGACAATAGCTGTCTCCTCTGAGTCGGGATCAATGCGAAGCTGCACATAAAGTATTTCATTCGATTTTGAAGTCGTCGTTATCTTCAAACACGCTTCGCTTAGATGCATCTGACTGTATAACATCGCCGCTTTTAGACCTACACCTGATCACGATCTTGCCTTATAAGCATCTGCACTTTTATTTGATATGTACTCACAAACCATATTTTCCACTAGTGCCTCCTCCTTTGCCATTCTTTGTTGTCTCGAATGCATTACAGCACAGTAATTTCACCTGGTGCGCATGTATACCTGAGCCGGTGTCAGCGCATACTATGTCAATGTTGCCTGTAGTGGCATTCAACTTAACACTGATACGCAAAAACTCAAGTGGCGCATGATCCCATAAAATTTCAGAGCTTAGGGCCTGTGTAGCGTCGAGTGCTAAAATTTACCCACGGCATTTTATCAATTAGCTTAATTTGCATTTAATTGAATCTGTCACATTCGGTGTCACACCGTTCTCAAACAATTCCTTAACAGCCTGTACCAACGCGTCTCGACGATTTCCGAAACCTAGCAGTTCTAGATTGCTGCGAATAAATTGTACACCACGATCTTGCCGCTTTTTACTCACTCTCATGTTCAATTTCTTTACTTTGAAGGTTGAACCTTGCCAAATGCATCATGCATTCTGTTTAATAGCCTTGTTTTTTATGTAGATGCACAAATTGACGGACGCCGCAATGTGCCGACGTAAGAAAATACTGCTGCTCGTGGGCAATTGCGCATGTTGCATGAATTGGGAGTTTTTTGTGACAGAAATAATATTTTGACCGGCGTTCGCACAATTGGCTTGCTTGACGATCGCAAGAGATACTAATTAATTCATGCGACTGCTGTTCGACAGCATTACCTTGCAAGCTGTGAGGAAATATATCAGATTGGCTAATTGATCAGAAATGGTAACATCTTTTAGGAGGCGGTAATCTTTGAAAAAAAAAATTGAAAATATGCAACGGCATTGCTGATCATCTCAAACAGATGATGCTTTCACTCAATTAATCTGGGTGAACAACGCACAGAGATCGGGTCTGTGAAACCAAGAGTCCCTAAATAGCTGAGTTGTAAGTTTGTTGTAAGAATTACATTGAGTAAAAGCTGATGCTGATTATGTCTGTTTTGATTTCTTGATTGACAAAACTATATATATTATAACGCGAGGCTAACAGTCACACACCACAAAGTTGCTGTGCACCTTGCATGAAGGAAGTTTGACAAAAAGAGTTCGCGTCATGAAATGCATTAAGTTTTGGTTCATGTGCTCTTGCATGAAGCAAACCAAGAATTTTTAAGTCACTAATACTGCCACTTTGTACTGCCACGTTAAACCAATTGTAATTGATAGCGAATGATTTCTTTCAGCAATAAAATGTATTGCTTGATGTACGGCAAACAATCTGACACGTGCACATAAATGTGCTAGTCCATTTGTATAGCTTGATCCACCGATAGTGGCAACTCACCGAGCTGTACGTCTCCTCACGACCAAAATGTCCACTGAGTAGGGTGTCGTGGGGCTCATGGATGATATGTTATTTAAATCCTCATCATGGGCAACCACAAATCGTGGCGTATCCGTTGAACCGATGCTATAATACAGCACCTCGTCACTCAGCGAATATCGGATCAAATTCGTCACTGACGACGACACCGTCGTAACATGAGCAGGCTCATAAACCGGTGTGCATGACAACGCATCAACCAAAGCGTTCTGTTTTCCTGGCTTAAACTTCACCTCAAAGCTATAGGCGTATCCGTTGAACCGGTGCTATATTACAGCAACTCGTTACTCAACGAATATCGGATCAAATCCGTCACTGACGACGTCACCGTCGTAACATGAGCAGGCTCATAATCCGGTGTGCATGACAGCGCATCAGCCAAAGCCTTCTGCTTTACTGGCTTATGCTTCACCAAAGTTATACTGTACAAAGAATGAGATCCACCTGCCCATCGTCTGCGAGAGGTGAGGCGACTGAGTCGCAGCGCGTAATGACGCATGATCTATGTAGATCACAAACGGCTTGAGCCAAGCAGGTGCATTATGAACTTGTCAAGTGCATACTCCATCGCGAAAGTTTTCCTTGTAGGGGACTGGGTAGCTCCTCTCCGCAGCCTAAAGCTGGCGAGATCCGTACGCGATCACCCATTCTCACCCTCGGCGTCTGCTAGCAGCAGTGTGCACTGATGCCAAAGTCCGAGACGTCAAAACACCATTCCGTATTCTTTTAAGAAGATTAGACAGTGGCCGTGCCATTTACGCATAATTTGCGTAATATTTGTGCAAATAGTTGGCGAGGTCAAGCCACTTGCGCAAGTCCTTTTAGTTCTTTAAAATTGGCTGGTCCAAAATGGCCTTGACCCTAGCTGGATCCGCTCGAAGGCCACGCTTCTCAATGAGGCACCCTAAAAATTAAAAAAAATTCAGCGCCAAAATGCATGTGTCGGCATTAGCATACAGCTTGTTCGTGCGCATGTACTCGATCATCGCTCTCAAATGGACGATGTGGTTTTCCACATCTATCTTCCCGTGCACCGCACGAATGTGGACGAAGATGTCGTCAAAGTATGCTTGTGCATACGCCCGGTGGGGGCTGGACTATTGGGTCACAAGACGATTAAAAGTTACTGGTGCAGTGACCAGCACTTGGGGCATCACCAGCCACTCCCAGAGCATCCCGCTCGGAGTACTCACCGCTGTCAGCGGGTTATCGCTCACTATCATGAACATTTGGTGATAACCATCGACCAAGTCAAATGCACTGTACTTTATACAGCTAACCATATTGTTCTAGAAAACATCCTTCCTAAAAATCGGTGTTTGTGTCGGAATGGTGGCAGCGTTTAGCTTATTGTAAGCATGAACGATACGCCACTTGCAGTCCGGCTTTCGGACACAATACGTGGGTGTCGAATGGGGAGACTAACTTTCACGCACCATTTCTGCGTCGTGCTTCGCGTGTACAAGGCGTCAATGACCTCACACTGCTCCTTGGTCAGGGGCCATTGGCGTATTATATAGTATTTGGTTCCCGGGACCACGTCAATCTCGAGACGCACACCTCGGTCCGGTGGTAGGACCGACGGCGGGTCTTTGGAGACGACGTCTTGAAATTCCTTTACCAAAGGATAGTACGGATCCG